TAAATGTAGAATACAGGTTATAAGCGTTGTCCAACTGATCATATAATTTTTCAGCCGATAAAGGTAGTCCAAAACCTCCTTTACCTGTTATAAAACCGGCGCACTCTCGTTCAGACTCAAGTTTTCCTCCACCTCCTCCACCAAATACTTACGTCAGGCAAGCAACTGAATCTGCTCCACCTCCACCACCACCCCCACCTCCACCACCACCGCCTCCACCCCCACCCCCTCCACCAAGTTCTGCACCTCCTACATTACCTTCTCCGTCATTAAAGCCTCATATGTTTCCGAATAGAGGTGATGCGCCTAATAAACAGGTAATTTTTTTTGCCGTTCTGGAGGTTCTTAGAAGACTTTAACCAGATGCTAAAAAATAGTATGCAATATTTTTTTTCATAATCTTTCCTACTAAATTGGTAATGAGAATGCGACTAACTTCTACTTTATATTTGCTGTTCACTTTGGTATCAATTTACTAACAGTATTTTAAATTTAAGCGCATTGATAAAGTGATACCCGAATCATTGCGAAGTAAGAAGCTGTTGTTCTACTTCAGTCGAGTATTTATATTTGTTTTAAAATATTGAGACTGAGTCATTCTGCTCCTAATTTTTAGATTAGACCGATATTGGGGGGTGATTATATTTCCTTTTCAAAAAAAGTTTTAGTTAACTGTTTCAATAAACTTCACTTTTTATATTTGAATGTTACAGTAATTATTTGCTGTGATTTACAAAACGTTTTCTATTGTTTACTTACCTGAACCATTCTTAATCATTTCTGTAAAATTTTTACAAAGGACAAGCATACACGTTTACATCAGTAGCTGCACTGTCACTTCTTTTCTCGTTTAGATATTGTAATCTTGCGTTGTTCTTTTCAAGCATTATTTTAGCGATCTGTTTGTTCTGTTTTTAAGAATATTTTTAATTCCGGATTTTTTTCTGATTTACTGGTGTTTTTACCCTTCTTTTAAATTTTCTTGAGCAACTTATTATCCTGGGTTGTGGAAAATGGTTTTTTGCTAATTATTTTGCAGAAGCCAGTTCCATCCATTTTTGCTAATTCATCCGTATCTGTAAATTCTGTTGCTGCACGAGCCGAAATGCTAAGCCAGGTGAATGCCTTGATTTATTTTAGGAATTTTTTGATTATTTCAACAAAGTTATATCTGCGTTCTATCTGCAGCTTGATCTAACCCAAAGTTATTCTACTTTTTCTGTTATGCTACTTAATCTCGTTACTTTCATTTCAAGGGCGGGACAGTAATTAAATTTGGCATGTTTGCGGCACGAGTACCATCGCTGAGATTTTTTACTTTGTAAATATTAAAAATTCAATTGTTTCAGTATTTGTTGCAGAATTATCCTGTTTATAAAATTGTTAATAAGTGTTTGCATGGTTGCTGTGAATTTTGAATTTTATCAAATCTGGCACTTGAACGACCTTTTTTAAACAGGGTTTTAAGGCCCCTTCCTCTCTGAAAGGAAACCAGGTGTTACCTACAGGACCAGCGCAGAGGAAGCCATCCACACTTCAGTTCCAAACAATGCGTCCTACAAGGGGTGCTGCAATACCGCAGGTTCGGAGAACCGGAAGTTCAGAGGTGTCTGGCCTTTTTTTTTGCATGATTTGTAAGCATGATGCTAGAGTTGCTGGCATTTATGCTTGCTCCTCAACATGTATTTGTTAAAATTTTTATTTTTAAAACCACTTGAAATTTCGTTAAAAAATTTCACGGTTTTTCTGACATTTTAAAAATTTTAACTTTCAAGTATTTTCAGAGGGAAAAGAGTTTGAAATAAGGAGTTTCTCGCGTGTTTTTGATATTTCGTGTTAGTTTTGTAAAATTCGTGTCATCAATATATTCCTTTGATTTTGTCTTAAAGTATAGTTAACTTTTGTTGGGGAATCATGAAGTATGTATTTTTTAAACATCATCGGTTCTTAAATATTTCTTTTAAACGTTTTTTAGGCGGTCGTTATTTTCATTGGCGTAATTTTGCTGTTTAAATCTTGAGTTTTTTGCAAAGGTTTATTCAGTGGCTTGTTGGTACGCTTTATGATATCCCGTAAAACTATTTTAAAAAGTACATTTTCGATTAGGAAAATATAAAAGATTGTTCTATAGAAAGCAGATTTATTATTGTTTCTGCTTTCTAGTATTTGCAAACTTCATTTGATTTTTCAGTTGTTCATCGGTCTTATTAAGTGAGTTTCAGTAGCCTCTTACTGTTGCTTTTTAATTTGAGGGTGAAATCAAGTTAGGGGATGCTTTTCATGTTTACACTTATTGTGTTTAGGTACAGAGAAGAGACTTCAAGGAATGGGTGAGTTGTTAAAGCAATTGCATAAGTTTTTAGAAACGCAAAACAAAAAACTTTTGGTTAAATTATTTAATTATATTATCTCTGTAGCTTTTCACCTTTTTTTTTCTTTCTGCTCCTCAGTTAATGAAGGTATGCAAAGCATCACGCCACTCTTAAAGGCCTTAGAAAACACGAGAAATCTTTAAAGGACCATTAACGGTTTCTCAAACTGTAGTCATGGTGTTACATGAAAGTATTAAAGAACAGGACGAGGTAGTCGAAAGTTACTTAACGATTTGTTTTTTTACTAATTGTTTGTGGACTTTTTACATTTTTAGGTCTGCATGGTTTTTTTAGTTGCATAGCTTCTGAGTAACTTGTGCATTTGCGTTGTATCGGGAACAGGTCGATAAGTTAAAATTCGGTTAACAACGTTTTTTAGTGATTTGTAATTAATAGGCGTTACTGAATTGTTTCATTGGGATTTTTTGTTATTTGTCTTTTTATTAACATCGTTTACCTTTTCTGTTTTTTTTTCCTGGTCTTTTCAAAGGCGGTGTTACGTTTTACGCATGGTTTAACAAAAAGATAGTTTGGAACATTGGTTCCTGTCATTTACTAGTTCAGATTCTTTTCTTGTTCTTTTATATATTTAGAGTTTATTAAAGTTGTAAAGTTTAATTTTTGGTGCTTAATGATGACAGGATGAAAACATGCTGTGGATACTCCTTTTTTTTTTGGAGCTAATACTTTCAAATTTTCCCCCTAATCTGGATTAGTTGTAAGTTTTCCTTGGAGTTTATAGTTACCTGGCCTTTCTAAAACGATAGCCAATCAAGAAGTATAGACTCTTCAGGGTAAGAAAGGTAAGTGAGCAGCAAGAGAAAGGTGACGTGACAACTTTTAGAATCTTTCTCTCCGCCGTTGTGTGAAAGCCACCAGTGTAGGAGAATAATTGTGTACACAGTCAATGAAAACGTGTTATTTCAGGAGCTATCAAAAACTCCAGCCAGTAGACCCGTTGCTCCACCACTTCCATCAGCCCCGCCAAGTGTATCGCGCCTTACTAAACCGGCCGGTCCCCCGCCGCCTCCGCCACCGCAGGGTTCACGTCTGCTCGTTCAACCTAGTTCTCCCTATATGTTTAGTGGGCAACAACGCAAACGGGACGAGTCGCCTCCTGTACCGCCTACTCGTAGTTCGTCTTATGGTTCTAACATCATGTCTCGTTTCCAGTTCATCCCGATATCTGAGTTGCCGCCACCAGTGGCATTTACGAGAACGAGGAAAATTTACGAGTTCAATCCTAGTAAAAGTAAAAAACGACCTCCGCAAACTTCTTTAACTAGTTGAGCTGTGATTTTCTTCAAAGTCCCATGTTTTATTTTTTACCGTTGGATTCTCCTGTATAAGTGGACTTGAGTTGTCACAGGCCAAGTGATTTTCATCTGTTAAGGGGGTAAAGTTTTGAAGTCTTGGATTTTCATCCGATTTGTCCTTCATTTGTATTTCCATGCTTAAATTCATTTATTAAATTATTGGGTGATTTTGCCTTACCAAGTGAAGTTGGCACTTGTATCTCTACGGTAATAGATGGGTTCGTTTATACGGAACTGGGTGTTTAAAAATTTTAAATAATTTCCGTTCATTGTTGATTTAGTTCTTTTTGTCCGCCACAGAATGTTGTTGGAGAATGGCTGGTTTATTTGATGGTTTATTGACTGCAGCTCCATATAATATCAGAGGTGACAAAAAAATTTTAATATATATTTTTTTACAAAGGCTTTGGAATTTGCTTTTTGTGCACTCTTGTCTCAGGATTTCTCACTTCTTAGTATTTGGTTTGTTTATTTGAAAGGAATTAAGTAATAAAAATGAAATTTTTTGCCATAATTTTTCACTTTCTATTACTGGATGCTTCTGTTAATGTTGTGCCTTACATTGTTATTCCGGTGTTGCAGTCAGTGAAGGCTCGCGCTCCTCAAAATTAGCTGAAGGGTATAAATGTTCATTGATGTAAAAAAAATATTGTAAATTTCATTGCGTAATTCTAAGTAGAGAAGTATTGATCTGGAGTTATCAGTGTTTTTCTTGCTGTGATAGTTAATATTGTCGTCTCAAAGTTAGTGTTCATCTCAAAAAGTGTTTGCAAATTTTTTTCAGCGATGTTCTTCAATATCATTTATTTTGACTTTTTGTTGCCTATGTCAATAAACCTCTAAGGAAAATGTCTAAAATTATAACGACAGGTACCCTGTTTCAGTCGTTTCTATGCGACAACAAATTTATTGTTGCAATGGATGAGTCGAGTGGCCGGCGTCACTGCCAGCATGCAATAATTTCATGAACGTTTTTACTGAATGTTTCACGTTTCAGTCGCTCCAGTCTGACAGGTGTGCTGAATTGTTCTTGGTAGGCTTTGCTCTATAGTAATCAGCATTTCAACATTCACTCAATACAGCAATGAGTGCGAGTGGGGCGTCTTCGAGTGGGTTGAAGTTGAATCAGCGGCTTAAAGTTATAAGTGATGTGGACCAAAAGATCACTGAACTGGTAAAACATGCGCAAGCATGCATTCTTGAGTTGAGCAGGGAAAAACAGGTTAGATATTCAAGGACTAGTTTTTATGACCCGCCATTTAGTACCGTCATTGAACCGTCTCAAAGACGCACTCGTCTCATCATGGCGGGCGTCTTGAAGTAAACTTGGTGTTCTTGATAAGCCCCTTACTTTAGTTCAGGATCTCTAAAACAAAAATGAGTTTGACTGTTTGGATTTGAAGGCCCTTTTTCTCGGAAA